AGGAGGGAACATGGAAGTATTTACACCTCAACTAGACCAGCAGCTTGGGTCTGCCATGTTGCCAGACCCATAGACCTGGGATAGGACTTTAAAAGCCACAAAGAGGACTGAAATGAGTCAGCTGTCACAGTTCTTGCAAAATCAGCATGAGAACATCAGTGTGTGGATCTCTAGCAACTCTACAGAGTCAGGCATGGTGATGCATAGATGGATTAACAGAACAAAGGGAAAAGAGGATCCTTGCGGCTCAATAGCTGGGTAGCTAGTTCTGCCAATTCGACAAGCTCTGGTTTTAATGTGAGACACCCTATCTCAAAAAATAAGGTGGACTCAGTCCTGATGATTTTTAATCCTAGCAGTAGGGAGGCAGAGACAGGTGATTCTCTGCAAGTTCCTGACCAGCCAGGGATACCTAGTAAGAACCTATCTTAGAGAGAGAGAGAGAGAGAGAGAGAGAGAGAGAGAGAGGACACAGACACTGACATTGACCTTGACCTCTGGCATATGCACACACACACACACACACACATACACACACAAGTAATGTTACACACACACACAAGTAACATTTACACACACACACACACACACACACACACACACACACACACACACACACATCACACATGGACACACAAGCCTGAGTAGCAGGCTACATCATTTCCATTGTGATGGAAAATACAGACTTTCTCCTTTAAAAAGCTAGTTTCGAAGTACAGTACAGAGAAAAGGCAAAATATAGCCTTTGTGCTATTGATTTAGAAACCATGGCCAACCCAAAGGACAAGGCATTAGGCCAATCCCTGGCTTCCTCCTGATGGAATCAAGACATCCAGGCATCGCTGTCCACAGTGGTCTACAGAAGAAGTGATGTAGGATGCAGTTCTATACAGGCTGGTAATGAACACCTGGAGACTGAGATGCCCAGAACCCCTCTACCAACTGACTGGTAGATTCATTGAGACCTACACACACACACACACACACACACACACACACACACACACACACACACACACACACACCATAAGTACATCAGACAGTTGGGGGAAAGCCATTGTTGAGGAGGGAAAGCTTCTCAAATAAAGCTATGGAGAGAGATCTGCTTCTGCCCCATTCAGAGAAACATTAGATGTTGCGGTGGCTTCCTGCTTAATAGTCCCAGGGCCTGCACAGCACAGGGTGTCCGTAGTCCAGGCTTCATCCTGAATGTGTTTGTTACATCACTGATAGAGGCTGTCACCGCCACCTGCTAAATCTTTACAGCACAGCAGTCTCACAGGCTGGCCGCCACAGGTTCCCAGGTCTCAGACTGGAAAGTCTGGGAAGATGACACAAGAGGGAAAACCACTATGGCCGGGTACAACAGATCCAGGTTTCCTGGTCCTGGGTCAGGCTGTAGTGCTAGGTTTGGGCAGTGTGCAACCAAGAGAATGATCATGGTATAACACACGACGCAAAAATGTCCAAGGTGCCATTTGGGACCATGAAGTCCCTGCTTGGGCCAGATAAGGTTTTAGGCACAATGACCTCCCTCTAGCTAGATAGAAGTATTTCCAAAAGGTCACAGTCACCCCCTGGAGGCATTTCTACGCTGACAAGCAAGAGAGGCCATGTGGTAGACACCGGGATTTCCACAGAGGTAGAGAGCTGGGCAGCTTATTCCTAAGGGCGTGTGAGCCATGAAGAGGCAGATGCATCAGAGTAGCTTAAGTGAAGATTCAAATGTGTCTGTGGGCAGGGCACCATCAGGGAAGAATGGAGAGCCACATTCCTTCACCTCTGCTGCTGTATGCTGAGCCAGTTCAGCATGGAAACCCTCACCCAGGACCCAACCTGAAACCTGCAGTTAGTGTCTCCTCCACAGGAGCTGTTAGGCAGGGGTGGGCCCCTCCTACTGGCCCCAGTGCCATGCTTCCCAGGAAGGCCCAGTGTGTGATCTTAGCAGCATTTCTTTACATCTTTGACCAGCTCTGAATGTACCGTGAGCTTCTGGGAGGTCAGATCTGGGGTTCTCTTCCAAGTGATGAACAAGCAAACTATGACAGCACTGGGCTGTGCCAGACACGTCCTTGGGAGTCTATAATTTTTGTTTGTTTTGAGACAAGGTCTTACTACGGCTGGCTCTGTAGGGCCTCGACAACCTTTTGCCTCAGCCTCCTTAGTGCTGAGATTAGAAGTGTGCTATTGTGCCCAGCTATTTAACCCTCCACACCTGTGAGGTTGGTACTGTTGTCACGTTTCACAAATAAGGAAACTGAGCCACGGAGTGGTGAGACAGTGTGCTCACATTCATACAGACAGGGCTGAAGCCAGGATTATAAAGTCCGGCACTCTTGCTCTAGGCGCTGTGAATTAATGTACACATGGATATTCGTCCTAGAAGTCAAGGGGACAGACAAATAGATCCTGAAGCCTTCTGCTCTCTTCTGGATCCTTGTCCTTCTACATCTCGGATATCCTGGCTGTCTCTATAGCCTCAGGGCAGCTCTGTGGAAATGCTAACCCTCTCTGGCTCACCCACAGGCTCGTGAAAACAATATGAACCCAGGAGAGCCCTACCAGGTGCCTCCATGGCTACACCAGTGGAAGCCAGCAGCTGCTTGGATCCCCAAGACATGGCCCCATGTATCTCCTGATTCCCTTCCAAGGCTTCATTCACACACACCATCACCCTCAGCCCACCACCTACTCACCAGCTACACCCTCTCTTGGAGACAGCCAGACTTCATCCCTTCCTGGAAGTTCAGGGTTTTCACTTCTGATCCTCCTGCCTCCACCAGTGCTGAGCTCTCTACCACGCCAGGTTTATGTGGTACTAAGGAGAAGACATGCATGTTTCATGAGTGCTGGGCAAGCAGTCGCCCCACTGAGCTACAGCCCTAGAGCACTATTTTTTTTATATTTATTTATTTATTTATTTATTTATTGGTTTTTCAAGACAAGGGTTTCTCTGTGTAGCTTTGAAACCTATCCTGGCACTCACTCTGTAGACCAGGCTGGCCTAAACTCACAGAGATCCGCCTGCCTCTGCCTCCCTAGTTCTGGGATTAAAGGCGTGCGCCACCAACGCCCGGCCCTAGAGGACTATTTTAACATTCACTTCAGCCGTGTATGCTCAGCCCTGCAGGCTGATGTCAGAGGGGCTTTCTCTGTGGCACACACTGTACTAAGTAAGCAATTTTATATGCACGAACTTTTAATCTTTCATGACAACTACCATCCTGTTTTGAAGGGAAGAAACCAGGGTTGGGGTTTTAAACGGCTTGCCCAAGTTCACATACAGCATATGTGTCCCAGCCAAGATTCCATCCAAGAATGGCATCCTCCAGGGACACTTACTCCCTTCCGGACTCCCTTTCCATTCACTGTGTAGGTCTGTGGCCAGCATGACTTCCTGCATCCTTCCCCCAGGCTTGTGCTGGGGACACACGGAACCTCAGCCACAGCTATGTGCTGGGGACACACGGAACCTCAGCCACAGAGCTGTTCTGCAGAGCCTCCTCCTAGTGTCCTTTTCCAGAACCCAGTGGCGTTCTTCTGTGAGCATGAAGTGAGCAAGGTGTGCAAGCACTAAGGTTGGTGGCCTGCACCATTGGCTTGAGAAGAGCCCTTGTGGGGAACATGGGGCTTTGTTGATTGTTCTGCTGTGTTTTTGAGATTGTCGGAAGATTAGCTGTCCTTCCTTCCTTCCTTCCTTCCTTCCTTCCTTCCTTCCTTCCCCTTTTCCTTTCTCTTTGTAAAGAGGAATCCATAATTTAAAAACTCTCTAAGACAACAAGCATATAGAAAGATAAATAGAGAAAAGGGAGTGTCAAGGCCAGGCTGGTCCTGTTGCCCCTCGTGTCAGAGGTCTCCTACTCTCTTCAGGTCTCATTTTCTGGGCTTTGCCTTACCCTCTCATCATGTCCAGGGTACCCATGATGACCTCCATTGTCTCAGTAGCTTTCAAGTCTCAAGGCTTATGTGGGCCACCAGCCCCAGATGAGGTCCCCTGAGGTAGCTTGGGGGTTGAACTGCCTTATGGAATCCTGGCAGAGAGAAGCCAGGGCATGTCTGTCTGTCTGCTGTAGAGACCTGAGCAGATGGGGGAAAGTCTATGCATTTCTGGTGGCCTCTGTCTGAAGCCAGAGATAACAGTGACCCAGGATGAAGGAGATGAAACCATGGCCTTGGTCTCCAACCTTCTGTCACTGCCTTGGGTAGCTAAACAGGCCATTGGTTCCTACTGTTGGCAAGGGCGTGGTTCTTTTTCCCTGCTGTTCTGTGGGGCTCAGCTTTACTTTCCCATCTCCTCTTGTTGAGATTTCACAGTTTCATCTTTTAAGGATGCAGAGGGCCTCATTTTTGTCTTAACTCTGAGAATTTTCCAGAATGTGTTCTTGTCAGCCAGAAGGGAGGAGGCGTAGGATAAGGCCAAAGTTCAAATGTTGGTTCCAAGGGGTCATGCTGCCAAGATCCCAGGATCCTCACTTTTGTCAGAATGGGAGTTGTTTAGGGTGGGGGGATAAATTGATAGACTGAGGATGTCTCCACCTTGTAGTAGACTCCCCCATGTGTTCTAATGAGAAAGGAAAGAAACTCACTCCATCTATCTGTTTCATTGTTCTTGACCAGAATAAGACAAAAAAACGAAACAAAACAAACAAACAAAAACACTGCTTTCGAGATTGTAGTGATGGGGGTTGTGTCTGCTCATGGGTACACATGTGTACGTGTGTATATAGGTGTGCACTTACACACTTGTTCTTTGAGCCTACTTGCTTCATGTCTTGTAGATCTCAGGGGGAGGCATAAGGAAGGTGCCCCACAACACACTAATGGGTGCGGAATCCTTTTGGGCTGTCTAGTGGCCAAGAGCATGAATTCTCACTAGAGTGAGCCTTGACTATGATTGAGTGGGTCGATGAAAAGAGGATGGGCCTGCAGTTCTGTGGGAGAACTAAGTAGGTTTCCCCGGATCCTGCTAACCCCCAACTCTGCCGTTGGCTGTCTTGCAGGAGCTATGCCGCCAGCGTATGTCTGTCCGGCCACAGGATCGCCCTGAGGGACCACACACATCACGCATCAACAGTGTCTCTTCCCAGTTCAGTGATGGGCCAATGCCTAGTCCTTCGGCTCGGAGCAGCACTTCGTCCTGGTCTGAGGAGCCGGTCCAGTCTAACATGGACATCTCTACTGGCCACATGATTCTGGTAAGGCTCACAACCTCTGATCTGAATTCTGTGAAGGAATGACAGGCGGTGGCAGGGTGAGTGTGTTCTACCTGTGTCCCTCTGTCAATTGCTTCCTGACCTTGGAACTTGCTGGTATCCCCTTCTGTGAGTCGTGAATAGAAACAAGAGGTGTGTCCATCGCTGAACTCTTTCTGTCCTGTTTAGAGCACACATGGGCACATGCGGGCATGCTCCCTTGGACTTGAGATGTAGTGCGGGAACACATACCTTTTAGTGATAGCTGTGTGCGCCATTCTTGTTGCATTGTGACTAACAGTAAGTAAATGGTTGTTAGTTTTCTCCTTCACCCTGTTTCCAGTTCAACAAGTGCTGCCTAAAAAAAAATCAACAAAATTTTGCATCCGTGGGTACTGCAAAATTGAAGCTGAGGAGCCAGGCAGAGGTATGAGCGATCTACAGTCTGCCACCAGAGCTTTTTGAGGCACATTTGCACTTCTCAGCAGGGCCATGGCTTTCCCTGGCACATTTGGGCAGGGGGGCAGGGGAGTGACTAAGGCTAGAGAGGCTGTGTTGCCTCATGGTATATTATTAATGTCCAGTTTCATTAGAAGAGATGTTTGTAACTCAGTTTTTCAGGCTCCCCGTTGGCCATCTTAGCAGTAGGCACCTTCCTGTTGCAGGAATGTGAAACAAGAACACCCACCATGCGCCCATGTTATTTTTTACCTGGGGATGGGGCCTCTGCCAGCCTGAGACACAGTCCAGTTCCCTGCTTTGGAAGCAACTGCTACGATCACAGATCAGGGAAATGCTGACTCTATACAGTCAGTCACCCTGTCATGAGAAAGCCCAGTACATTGTCCTTATAAATACACTTACCCTGGGGACCTTCCTTAGCTGATTTATCCAGCCACCCTGTGATTTGGTGGCCATGAGAACCTGGAAAAACTGTTTATTATTAAGAAGTCTCCTGGCAGCCATGTTGACCAAGAAGGTTCTGTGATTACCTGAAAAAGTGGTTCAGGGGTCTTGCTAGCCTAGATAAAAGTGGGCATATAGGGAGGCCGAGGTCTACTTCCCAGATGACACATGGCCAGAGGAGGGCATTCCCACTCTGTGCGGTCTGTGACTTGTCCTTACCTGCTTGCTTCTGTTTCTTCTTAAAATGTGGAGGGGGGGGCAAAATGCTGTTTGGGGATAGAGGCCATATAGGGAGAGAGCGTCTCACACCTGGGGCAGACAGGTTATCAGCAGACTGTCATAACAGACTGTCATGCACCTATTTTATTCTTGAGCAATAGGTTAATTGCACATACAGATGGTGATTGGAGCGTGCAGTCTTTTATGGTGACAGAGGTGCTCCTAATGGGCAGCCATGACTGAACTTAGATCTGACTTCTCAATGACTTTGACATTGGTCCCTTTTAGGGGAGGAACTGGGAAGTCCCGACACACTGAGATTTGTTGCGGGCATGAAACGAGTCAGTCAGTACATGAGCTTGTCGATAGTGGCTCATGTCAGCTCGTGGGATCTGGCATTCATTTCATGACTTTGAGTCACAATTTGGTAAGACCTTGTGTCTATGTGGCATACGACATATGTTTTGTTTTCAAGAGAAACTGTGTTTGGACATGGGTAGCAATTCCAAGTTCAGCAGGAGGGACTCAACCTCCAAGCAGCCGAGACCTTGCTGTCCTAAAGCAAAGTAGCCCAGGCAGAGTTCAATAGAGCCATTGGAGCCCAACACGGGGGGTTTCCCTTAATGTAGTCATGGCTTCACCCACCTACCACACTAGATCCAGAAACACATTCAGACCCGTGTGAGTCCCATCCACCCACTCTCACACTCCGTTTGCCCAGATTGTAAGCTCCAGGGGACTTATAAGCCTGGCATTTCCAGGAATTATTGCTTCCGTGGCAGGAGATATGACTCAACACCTTCTCCCAGGAGGCAGGGTGACCCAATTGCTGCATCCATGAAGGGCTGGGCCATGCCTTAAACCTCTGTTTTCCCCACACCCTGTAGTCCCGACTCCCTTTTCAGGTGGGGGTTTTGCCACATAGCATCTTGCCTCAGAATTTCTCGGGTACAGGACCTGAGGACCCCAGAACCTTAGGCTCTTTTTTCAGACCCACTTAGTGCACAGGCTGTGAAATTCCTCTCAAGCTTTAGCAGAATGGGACTGGCCCAGGATGGTGGCCAAAAAAGCATGTTTCCAGCAACCCAGGGTCCAGTTCATGCAGCAGCCCCCATGCCACCCCTCTCTGCACAGGCCGTGGAAGCCAGGCATGTCAGTCCTTTGCAATTGACCTTGGCTAATTAAAGCTACAGGGAGGGTAATTGCAATGACCAGTCACCCCGACCCTCAGCAGGAAAGTGCTTGTTAATTGCCCAGCTGGAAAGACAAACATGCTGAACTACATGGCAAGGATGAGTGGGTGCTGGTGGTTTTCTTGTCCTGCCAGATCCTGCTGCCCTGATCCCCAAATAAACACAAATATGCTATATTAATTATTAAACTGTTGATCAATGTCCAGGGCTTCTTATTGGCTAGTTCTGTCTTAATTAATAATCCATTACTATTAATCTATGTATTTCCATGTGGTCTTGGCTTACCGGAGAATGCTAGGACTTGTTACTCCTTTGGCCACTCAATGGCATCTCTTTTTGGCACCTTTCTCTGCCTACCTTTCCCAGAATTCTCGTCTCCTAGTTCCTGCCTATCTTCCTACCTCTTTTGGCCAAACAGTGTTTTGTTCATCAACCAGTAAGAGAACCGTATATACAGAAGGACATCTCCCATCAAGTGGGCCATCAGGTAAATCCAGGACACTGGGTATTATTCACTGGCCACCTGACTCCAGTGGACCATGGGGGCAAAATATAATGTCTGAGCATCAAGACTGAAGGAAAAAGGTTGAGAGACCAGAGGATCTGAGTTCAATTCCCAGCACCCACACGGCAGCTCACGATCATCTGTAAACTCCAGTTCTGGTAATCCGATGCCCTCTTCTGGGTTTCCTGGGCACTGCACACACATGGCACATAGCCATGCATACAGGGAAAAAACCACACATACACGTAAAAAATAAATAAAGAACTTTTTAAAGACCGTAGGTGGGGGAAAAGAAAGAACAAAAAGTTTCAACTCCAGGTTGGCAATGGGTGTACACCCATAAAGCCATGCTGACCCAAAACTGACCACCAGGACACATCACTGACTGAATATGTCCCCTGTGATATTCAGGGGGTGACCCAGCAAGCATAGCCACTGTGGGAAGGGCCTCAGGACTGAGCCCTGTTCCCTGTGACTCTTCCCACATAGGATGGCCTCAGAAACTCCATGCTCTGTAACTTTCTGCTAGACTATAGAAACAAGGCCCTTGGAATCACTGACCCTTTGAAGGTCAAGGACTTGGGTATCAGGAAGACTCATGTGGAAGGAGAAAGTTTTCACTAGATATCAGGCTGAGACATTACTGGGCTGTGTTGCCTCCAGTGGACCAGCCATAGTGGTCCAAGCACCACCAACCACAGGGAGGGGGCTCTGTTACCCCTCGCTCTGAAGGTAGAGCAGGGGTCAGAGGAAGCTCAGAAAGGCTGGGTGCTTATGTATAGGAATCTCAGGACACGGAGAGATGGACTATGACTCTCCTGGGTGCAGAGGGCACATGGACCTGACTAGGGAAGGGACATGAATTCTGGTACTCCACAGAAGCCTGCCTCACTTGCTGTCTGCTGGCTATGAATCTAATGTCACAGCCATCATCTCTTGTCTTATGACCTGTATGATAGGCTAGAAAGCAGCACTCTGTCCCCAGTCCCTGTGAATGTAAAGCAGGACAGGCCCAAGAGACATGCCCATCATGTCACCACCCAGCCATGCTTTGGAGACACCTCCTCTACCTGAAGTCACAGTGAAGCCACAAAGGTTGCCACCCAAGGCACTCTGTGTTTGCTATTATTGTTCTTCTGTCTTTATTTTCTTTGGAGGCGCCCTCTGAAATATTTTATTTTTGAACAACATGTTAATTGCACATATGCATGGGGTTTAGCATGATATTTCAACATATACACACAACTCATGTTGATCAACTCCATCCTCTCCTTATCCATCCTCCCCCAACTCTGGGCACAGCTGTCTACATTCAGGCAGAGAAAGCATGACGTTGATACCCAATGGGTCTCCAGCCATTGTGAATGGGCGAAACACGAAGACATTGTACAGAGTGAAATAAGCCAGACACAGAAAGGCAAGCACTACGTGTGTAGTCTCTCTCATGCAGAGGAAAATGACTTTTAGAAATCCAAAGTTTCTTGGGGCTGGTGAGATGGCTCAGTGGGTAAAGGTACTTACCATCAAATGTGACAACCCAAGTTCAATCCTTGTGACCCACACAGAAGGTGAGACCAACTTCAGCAGTCAGTCACTCTGTGACCTCCACAAGGGCACTGAAGCATGTATGCACCCACACATACAATGCACACTAAATAAGTAAAAGAAAATGTAATAAAGTTTACAAGTTTCTGCTAGGCATGGTGGTGCATACCTTTAATCCTAGCACTCAAGAAGCAGAGGCAAAGGCAGGAGGACCTCTGAATTTTAGGCATCCTGGTCTTTATGGAGAGTTCCAGGGCTACACAGTGATACCCTGTCTTAAACAAATAAATATGTATATATTTAGATTTAGATTTTTAAACAAGTGTTTTAAAAGCAAAACCACCATAGAGTAGAGCTACATTGGTCCCAGGAATATGCCCAAAGGAATCTACATCAGCATGCCAAGAGACACCTGACCTGCATATCCGTGTTTATTTCTACACTGTTCAGAACAGTCAAGTTGCAGAGTGAGCTTGCATGCATATTAACAGGTGAATGGTTAAAAAAATGTGATACAAGTGCGGGGGTATTAATTAACTGTAAAGAAGAATGGAACCGTGCTATCCATAGGAACGGGAGATCATCCTGAGAAACACGTCACACGTGTTCCTCATGTGCGGAACCTAGATTTTTGA